GCTAAATTATCTCTGCTCCTGGAAGGCATCACATGATCATAAAAAATGGGGAATACGTAAGTGTGCTTCCAAGAGAATCATCTTGAAAATCACTCAAAGCTATTTTTTTGTTTTCATTTCAGCTGTTCATCCATCTTATTGGAGACATTATTCTTCTCTTTTTCTACTGTTTGCATCGCTTTCTGCGTGGTGTATCATTTTCTTCAATCAACCACACAAAGAAGAGCGCTTTTTGTTCCCAGTCTATCCACTTATCGCATTGATGGCAGCGGTTTCTTTGGACTCTGCGGAACGGTGCGTCTTAACTTCTCGTAAATGTTTATATAACAATGGATGATGATACGCTAGGCTGGCCTACCGCTTTGTCCATTCTCTTTCCTATTTGAGTTGGTTAGTGATCCTGGTTTTTATCACTTTGTCGTTGTCAAGGACTTACGCTCTACATAAGAATTTTAGTGCCCACATTGAGGTATGGTATGGTGATGTAGTTGAATGAATGTTTATATTATTTTTCGTTCAGATCTATAAAAGTTTCAACGAACACCTCTTGGATCATCAACAACAACTGGACTTTTCCAAGCGCGGGGTCAGCTCTATACCTTCCTCGTCAGCAATTTTGTTTTCAATTTCTGGTATTTTTAGGATCCGCTTAGTCTATGTGTGGGGAAGGAATGGTACCGATATCCCTCATCATTCTTCCTACCTCAAACTGCTATTGATGGACGTTCCAGGAAACGAGGTGAATAGTTTTTTGTTTTTTTCCCGTTCCTTTCCATTTTTTCTCTTCCCTTTGAGCTCATTACTTATATGTTGATGCCATTTATCAGCTTACAACTGGGTTGTTCCAAATAAACCTTTCATTTAGGAGTCCATCTTCATTTTCTAAAAAGCGAATTTTCTGGACTTTTACCGAAATACTATCCGCAAGGCAGGTTGCCATTTATCACACGCCGCATCCCAACAGAAATGAACGATTTGAATCAAGAGGAAATGTCAAGGTAATTTCTTTGCAAAAAGCGCTTATTCCTCTATGGTTTTATTCAGATACGTTCCACTTGATTCGTGCGATTACATCGTAGATCTGGAAACTCCGGATCAAACCACATCTTTGGAACCCAACTATGGACTCATGGTCGGTTATTTTCTACTAACCGTCTTTGGAACTATCACTTGTCTTGTAATTTTTGCCTTTTAGACCGACACCTTCGCTCGATTACATTCTCATCCTTTTTTGGTATCGTCAAAATCTCACTGGTTTTATCGAGCTTTCTTCGTACCATACCTATCTGCAAAACATACATCGTTTGCGAATTATACCCTTTACCAACGGATACCTCCTACCCTGAGAATTTAGCATCAGGCACATAGACGAGTTGCTTAATGCGTATATTTATTGTTATGCTTAAATTCTATTAATTGTTAGAGAATGGTTATTGTAGCTTTAGGATTGTAGACGGACCTTTTTTTGATGCGAAAACTTCTGTTGTATCCTTCCCATTTGTTCGCTTGTTTGCAGCTATTGTGCAGTTTTTAAACTATTTATTTTAGTTCGTTTTATTTTCACAGCTTAGCCGTGAGCTAAGGTTTGACGTATGATCAATCCCGTTTATGTACATTTTGCACTTTTGCTCACATTTTTAGTGTTTGTGCAATGCATCAGTCAGAGTGTTTAACGTTCTAGGCAGTTTTGTTTCAATCAAGTATGTATTATTCAATGATATTGTATTGGCTTTGGTTTATAATGTCGGGTTACTAGTCAATAAAAGTGATTCTCGTGAAAATGTATGGGCTTTCGATATTGATCTATAATCTCAGATTACTTACTCTACGTTCACCATTGCATCAGACTTGTACTCTTGCATACATTATGTACGTTGATTACCGTTAAGCTCCATGTCTGGTGGGACGGAGCAGAACCCTCCCGAAACTTCTGATGCAACTACAAGTGAAACAAGAGATCCCCAAAAAACGAAGGCTGCAGTACAAGTACGACTTTTATCTGACTTTTTGTTCTTTATGACAATTCTCTGCAAATCATTTGCTGTTTTCGTTTCTATCTCTTGAATGAGGAAACTCCGGTTTTGAGGGCGCAGTGGATGCTGAACCTTTTTTGAGCGACTCTTATAAAATCCTTCGTGGGTATAAAAATCATTCATTCAGGATGAGAAAATCTGCTCTATCATAAGGAAGAACACGTGAATCCCAATCGTTTCCAGTTTTTTAAATGTTATAAACTTCTTAGCATTTGGATCATAATCAGAATAGTGGCGACCTGTTTA